AATAAATAAATAAATAAATAAAATTCTCTCTTTCTCTTCTCTCTCTCTCTCTCTCAAAAAAAGATGCCTGCCTGACTGCGCAGTGTGAGGGACAGAACAGAGCTGGGATTGGGTGATGTTGTCCCGAATTAGAGGTCTTTGGGTGACCCCAGCACCCCGAGGTGTGACCTAAGCTCATCAGAGGGGAGAGGGAGCCCGGCATAGTGGCAGTGGTGGCTGTGATCCTGAGCGACCCGCCTCCACCCTCCTGGCTTCCCCGTCTATAACACGGGGATACCCTGCAGAAACCCCTGAAGCACGTTCTGAAGACTCAGTAATGTTAAATACTCCAGGCATTTTCCAATAGCACCCAGAAATTCCAGAAACTTGGAAATCCCCACGGCCCTGAGAAGCGAACTGGTCCTTGTGCGCGGCGGTAGAGGGGAAAACTGAAGCAAGGTGGGGACCGGAGTAGGGCTGGCTTCCCGGGGCGCGGGGCCGCCGGGGCGGGCGCCGTCCCGCGGAGGCCCAGGGGGAGGCGCGCGCGGCGGCGTTCTCGGCCCGGCCCCGCCCCGCAGGCCCCGCCCGCCCGGCGGGCGCGCCCTGGCCCTGGAGGCCCTGCCGCCTGCGGTCCCGCCGCCCGCCTCGCACTGAGCCGAGTCCGCACGGCTGCAGCATGAGCCGCCCCGCAGACAGCCCGATTTTTACGCCCGGAGAAGACTGCGGCGCTGCGTGGCGCGCGGCGCCGGCGGCCTACGACCCGGCGGACACGCACCTGCGCATCCTGGGCAAGCCGGTGATGGAGCGCTGGGAGACCCCGTACATGCACGCGCTGGCGGCCGCCGCCACCTCCAGAGGTAGCCCCCGCCCGGGCGCCGGCGGGGAAACCGAGGCCCGGGCGTGCCAGCCCAGGGTCGGGTTGCCCGTGGCGCACTAGCCCCCTGCGCGCCTCGGCTTCCTCGTGGTGGACTGGGGCTGCTTGCTAGTGGGACGACCGAGTCAGGCAGGGGGGATGTTGCGGGAACGAGGCCAGTACCCAGTAGGCGCCCGCTAAGTAGCAGGAATTTCCCCTCCACAAGAAAAGAGGTCCCTGCTCCCTGGGGCAGGTCAGGGGATGGGTCCTCGGACCGCTACCCTGGGTGGAGCTTGTCTGTGATAGGAGCTGTGGGACGCGGAGCAGGTGCCTTCTCAGGACGGGGGAAGCCTCGCGCTTGGCAATGGCTAAAAATAGCTCCGGAAAGCTGAGTTTAGGAGACAGCTGTCCCTTGTGGCCCTGCACTGCCTGGTGGAAGGCCGTGTGCCCCAGACTCCCAAGACCCAAATGGAGCCCTTCAGAGGTCCAACGTGGCCTTTGGGTGCTGAGCCTCAAGGCTCCCACCTGGCCAATGAGCACATCCAGTGTCTCTGTGCAGAGCAGTGGAGAGGGGCTTTGACACGCGGTCCAGAAGGACTGTACCCTCTCCTCCCAGAGCATTCCAAGTCCTAGGCCTCAACCCAGCTTTGCCCTTGCAAACTTCGTGGTGCAGAGGGAGGGAAGGGGACAGGAAAGTAACCAGTTAGAGAGATAAGGGCCACCAGTACAAACAGCATGGGCCTGGTCTCAAAGTCCAAGGCTCTAACCTCCCCCCCAGGGGCTCTGGCCAAAAGCTTCTGTCCAAGGCCTCTCCGGCCAGCCACCCTTTCTGGACACTGGCCAGGGCCCACGCTATGGCCTCTCTGGACTGCTGTGTTCTGTCCACCCACAGCACCCCTCCCCTGTCCTTGTGGCAAATGTGATTCTCAGCCAGTGCTTGCCCTGCACCCCCTCCTCCAGGCAGCTCCCCGGAGGAACCACACGTGATGCCTGGTGTCTTTTGTCTGTCCAGGAGGCCGGGTCCTGGAGGTGGGCTTCGGCATGGCCATCGCGGCCTCAAAGGTGCAGGAGGCTCCCATCGATGAGCACTGGATCATCGAGTGCAATGATGGCGTCTTCCAGCGACTCCAGGACTGGGCCCCGCGGCAGCCACACAAGGTGCCCCTCTGCCTGCAGCCCTGGCAGCCCACTTGTGATCACTGGCGCTCCCTAGAGGAGGCTGGGGGCCTGGGGCGGCCAATGGGGAGATGGCGGTCTCCCTTGGGAGTCCCTCCCTTTCAGCAGGAAGGGAGATTTGGGGGACCCCTTCCCTGTCTTCATTTTCCTCCCCTCTCCCAAGGTTGTCCCCTTGAAAGGCCTGTGGGAAGAGGTGGCGCCCACACTGCCAGACAGTCACTTTGACGGTGAGGGTGCCCCGGGAGCTAGGTAGGGGGGTGTCATGGGGGTGTGCTGAGCTCCTGCTCCTCTCTGGTGGCTCCTGCCCGGGAGGAGCAGGAGGGGTCTTCTAARTACACCATGTGTGGCACGCACCTGGGGACAGCCTGGGTGGGCAAGGACATGAGCCTACTGGAGAGCCTGGTGTGTGCAGAGGTGGTGTCCAGTGGACACGATGCCCACCTGCAGCCCAGCCCTGACAGCCCTGTTGCCACGCAGGGATCCTGTATGACACGTACCCGCTGTCAGAAGAGACTTGGCACACGCACCAGTTCACCTTCATCAGGGTAGGAGGCGGCGGCCTGGGTACTCTGCGGGCTGGGCAGGGCGCCTGGCTTTCCTCCCATTCCTGACTGCTGGGGTGCAGCAGGCCTGCGGGGAGCCCCTGTCCAAACCCACCTCCTCCCCAGGACCACGCCTTTCGCCTGCTGAAGCCTGGAGGGGTGCTCACCTACTGCAACCTCACCTCCTGGGGGGAGCTGATGAAGGCCCAGTACTCAGACATCTCCACCATGTTCCAGGTGGGGCCCCGGGAGGGCATGGGTAGTGACTCTCCCAGGCAGAGGCCCTGGGGACCTCTGGGAGGGCTCCCCTCCTGCAGGCCTCGGGGCTGAGGTCCTGGATGGGCTAGACTGTACTGGCTGTCCATCCAGACCCCTCACTGGGTCAGCCGTCTGCCATGGCTCCCCAGTGCCCTGAGGATACAGCCCGGCCCTCTGTCCCCCTGTGGCCTGTCCAGCTGTTCCTATCAGAGCCTCTGCCCACCACAGGGCCAAAAGGCAGGTCTCCTCATGAGACGTGTGTCCACAGCCCACACGTCCGTCCTTCTGTTCTGGGGTGCACTCCTGAGGACACGGAGAACCACCCCAGGCGGGGCCACCGAGGGCCTTAGTGCCTTGCTGGCCCTGGGATGCTGGCTGGGGGATTGCTGGGAGGACACCCAGGGCATGTGGACAGCTGCACTCCACCCACCTGGGCACACACCTGGGGCCTGAGGGGCAGGGCTATGACCAACCCCCCCCCCCCAGGAGACACAGGTGCCTGCGCTGCAGGAGGCAGGCTTCCACAGGGAGGACATCCGCACGGAGGTGATGGCTCTGGTCCCGCCAGCCGACTGCCGCTACTACACCTTCCCGCAGATGATCATACCCCTGGTCACCAAGCACTGAGCCACCCGCCTCCAGATCTGCACACACTCAGTGCCTTTGTGGGCCACGGCCCACCTACTACGCCTCTGTGCCCCACCTGGTGCCTCTGCTGGGCCTGATCCAGCAGTGGTCACAGCTTTTCTGACCACTGCCAGGTAACCTGCTGGGCTGAGAGTGAAATAAAGGCGGCCACTGGGCATGTGTGCAGTGGTGTGTGCAGCCCAGCTTCCCAGCAGCCCCAGGTCAGAAGCCTGCCCATGGTGGCTGTCCCCTGTCCATGCCTGATGCCTGTAGCAGCTGCTGCCAACCAAGGTGGCAGGAGGCGAGACCACTACTCTGATGGCAGCAGAAGGTCTTAAGGGGCTAGTTAGGGCCTCATAGGGTGGGGGGATGGCCCCTGCCCTGCCCACCCCAGTGAGCAGTGTCATCCTGAGTACTGCTCCACCACTGCTGAGCTCCCGTTGTCAGGGGTCTTGACCAGGACCCCACCGCCCAGGGAACAGACTGGCTCAGCTTGTTCTGGGCCCAACTGGTCACCCCAGCTGTTGGCCTTACCCACGCAGCTCTTGGGCCTGTCCATTCACATGCAGGCCCTCAGTGCTGCTGTGCCCTCTGCAGGGACACTCCTGCCAGCTCCCTCCACACGCTGAGCATAAAGGCCAGGCCGAGGGCTCAGTGCAGGACACTCCCTTTGACTGGAACAGCTGCCACTTTAGCATGGTCTTGTCCCAAAAGCTGTTCTTGGGCTGGGCACATGGCCAACACTGCAATCCCAGTGACAGGCTGTGAAGCAGGAGGACCGCAGGGTCAAAGTCAGCGTCTGCAATTTAGGGACCAATTTAGCAAGACCCTGTCTCAAAATAAAAGGGGTGGGGATGTGGCTCAGAGGTAAAGCACACTTGGGTTCAGTCCCCAGTACCAAAAAAAGCCGTCCTTTGACTGGGCCAGGCATCCACTCTCTCCACCCTAGTGATCTGGGTCCGCCATCCTATCCCTGATTGGTGGGAACTGCCTGTCCCCAAACCATCCCTGGCCCGTGGTGGCCCTCGCTATGGACTTGCAGAGCTGGGGTCGGCAGAACATGGGACATCCAAACATGGTTGAGCACACACACCTCTGAGGAAGGCAGCCTCTGGTGAAGGCCTTCCTGAGGCCACCTGGCTGGAGACTGCGCACCCAGGGATGGTCCCCAAAGGGGACGCCTGTGCCTGGTGTCTCCAGGGTAAGGGTCAGCTGGTGGGGATGTGGCTCTTTCTCTTCAGCCTCTCAGTGTCCTTACAGGTCCAACTACTCAGACATGGGCTCAGGAGACAGTGGCCGCTTGAGCCACCCAAAAGGCCAGCAGCTGTTTAAACCAAGGGGTCCTGAGAGGGAGAGGGTCACGGGCCATCTGGGTGATGGGCCAGGCAGTTCACATCCTGGCACCTTCACCCACAGAGTAGTAAGAGACCCTGCCTGGCAGAGGCCCTACTGAGCAGGCACAGGATACCAGGCTCACCCACTCCTCAGCTCTGTCCCACACTGTCCATCTGTCTGGGGGCTGCTATCCCTCACCCCAGTGCGCCTCGCACCCCACACTCCACACAGCACGAGGACTGAAGTTTATTCCGTCTTGGGGGCAGGGTGCACAGGGCTCCAGTGGCTGCAGAGGCGCTACCTGCGGTACCAGATCTTGAGTCTCTTCTCCCGTTTGATCTTCCTCTGAAGCTGCAGGATGCCGTACAGCAGGGCCTCCGCTGTGGGCGGGCAGCCTGTGGGGGACATGAGCTCAGCTCCCTCCTGTGGGTGACCTCTGGCCAGAGCAGTAAGGCCACTCTAGCCTGCCCTTCCCTCTGCAGTCCAGCCCCACAAAGGTCTACCAAAAGCACCCTGCTGGCCCAGGCAGGTGGGCAGGACAGGTAGAAGCCCTGTGCAGAGTGGGCCAGGCTGACTCATCTTCCCCTCCTGCTACTCCTTCCTGGACTCTGCAGGCCTGAGACAGGACCCGGGCAGTGCCTGCACTGCCTGGTCTGGCCCTCGGGCACTCCCAAGAGGGGAGAAGCCACTGCCCTCTGGGTACGGGGGCCCACATTCACAGGCATGGGACCTGGGGCCAGGGAGCCCAGGGCAGACAGCTTGAGCCAAGAAGAACAGGGAGGTAGTCCCCTGGCACCAGCTTCCAGCACTCCTGACCAGGGACATCCCTTGCTCGCTGGAGGCCCAGGCTACAGCGTGAGACAGCCTAGAGCTGGGCATGGTTGTTCCCCATGTCCAGAGGGAGCTTTGCTTCCAGACCTTGATGACTACTGGTGGTAATCAGAACAAATGCCCAGGAAGCCACCCCACAGTGCCCATCTGCCACTCACTGGGACTGCCCAAGGAAGGGGACACCGTGGGCCTGCATGTGAACAGGACGTCCAGGTTGGCATGCGGTCAGCCAGCCAGCGCTCAGCAGGCCCTGAGCCCTCATGGGACACACACACCAAGGAAGCCCTGGCTGTCGCTCCTGGCCCGGCGCTTTCTGGTTCCTGTGGTGCTGGGACAGAACTCCGGCCTCACGAGTGCCAAACAGGCGCAGCACCACTGGGCCACACCAGCCTGCCCTGCACTCTATCTGCTAAGTATGGCCACCTGGCCACCCCTGGATCTGAGGGGGTCTTACGGGCCTTCCTGTGAGGACCAGGAGTGTTCCTTGGCCTCCAGGAACATCTTCCCATTTCTGTAACTATACATGGCTCCATGTGGTCCCAGCATGGGCCAGTCCAGTGTCTGGACCTTCCCTGCCGGAGTCCCTTCGCTGACCAGGGGCTGGGCTACTTTGGACCAGTCTGTCTCTGGAGCATGTCCTCACCTGGCACATAAATGTCCACGGGCACGATGCGGTCACAGCCTCTCACCACGGAGTAGGAGTAGTGGTAGTAGCCGCCTCCGTTGGCGCAGCTGGGAGAGGGGCAACTCTGCACAGGGCTGCGGGCAGCACCCATCTCCTCCCACCTCCCCCCACCAGCTGACGGCAGCCTCCAGGGCCCCTCTGCAGCACAGGGGCAGGTGTGCAACAGCCCAGGTCTGCTGATGGCCAATTCCCAAGGGCGGCCAGCATGGGGTCAGAAGACTGGCAGGAAGCCCCCGGAGAAGCACAGGTCGCCAAGGCTGTGCCAAAACACGCAACCTGCTGCCTCCACCCCAGGGCAAGCCAGGACTGCCCTGACTCGGGGCCACTGGCCCCAGGGCTGTGGGAACAGGAACAGCCATGCCCCGCGACGGTGACTGGCTAAGTGAGCTCTGGGGTGTATCTCAACTGCTCCAAATGAGGTTACTGGGCTGTCCACATGCTGGGGCGTCCTTGGCCACCAGCAGGAGCGAGCCGACACAGCTGCAGTGTGGACAGACCTGAGCGCCTGATGCTTAATGAGATCAAGACACACAACGCCACAGCATATGACCAGTGACAGGAGAGTCCAGGACAGGGGAATCCAGAGACGGGATGTGGACTCGTGGGTGCAGGGCTGGGGGGACGGGGGCTACTCATGGTGATGGGGTCTCCTTTTGGGGTGACAGGATGTTCTAGAACTACAGATTCTCATGCCTCTGTGTAACTACAAGCTACTGAGCTGCCCACTTTAAATGGTCAACTTCATGGTATGCAAATTCTATCTGGAAAAAACTAAAAGTGACTAGACAGCCCTGGTAGGGAGGACCGAGGGCGATGCCCAGGAATGTGAGTGCCAGGCTACTGACCCACTGCTCCCAAGTTCAAGAAGCGGAGTGCTAGGGGGGTGCTTGCTGCAGGCTGGGCCGCTGGGGAGGTGTGGCCTGCCTATGCTCCCCCGCCCCCAGAAATGAGACCAGGGGGCAGGGAGGGGGCTGCAGCCGTCGGCACTCACCTCCCCATGGACACCACGTAGCGGGGCTCTGGCATCTGGTCATACACCTGAAAGAGACGTAGGTCTGCCGTCTCTGTGGCCCCTGGCAGGCCCCTGGCTGGCTGGGCAGGGGACAAGGCATACCTTGCGGAGTGCTGGGGCCATCTTGTTGGTGAGCGTGCCAGCCACGATCATCACGTCGGCCTGGCGGGGGCTGGCGCGGAAGACAACACCAAAGCGGTCCATGTCGTAGCGGGGTGCAGCCATGTGCATCATCTCCACTGCACAGCAGGCTAGGCCGAAGGTCATGGGCCACAGCGAGCTCTGGCGGGCGGGGGGCAGGGTCACACACAGCCCACCGTGAAGTCCACAGGGGAAATGTCTAGGTTGCTAGCCCCACTTGAGAGACTACCCTGGTTCCCATCCCAAGAGCAGTGGCCAGGAGGGAGGGCTGCCCCTCACACCAAGCGAGCTCCAGGCCGGGGCCCTCTCAGAGCGCACTTGCTGCCAGACACACCAGAGGAACTGCCCATGGGTCAGCCCATCCGGCCCAGCACATCCTGCAGGCACCAGTGAGAACACAGGTCTGAATCTCCAGGCCTGCTCAAGTTCTGAGCCTGTCCCACACATCCCCAGGATCTGCAACCCAGCAGCTCCTGCACAGCCTGGCTGACCCCCCAGGAGCCATCCTTGAGCCCTTGGCCTGGCCACTTCCTCAAACTGTTGGCTTTGTTCCTCTGTGGCTCTTGCTGGCCCCCCACCTGGGTAGGAGACCTCAAAGTGTCCCCCATGCCCAGCAGATGTGTTAACAAAGGTGGCCAGGTCCAAACTACAGAGCACAGATGGCCATGTCCACCTGGCTGGCCTCTGTGGCTGGACAGATCCTGAGCCCCCGGATTTCTGTGATAATGCGAGACCCTGCAGAGGGCACCTGCATCTTGGAAGCTGAAGCTCTGGCAGGATGCTCACAGGCACACGCCAGTGGGCGACAGTCACCGTGGGGTGGGTCAGGGCTGATCTGGACATTGAGTAGACTTCCTGGTCCTGACCTGCACACAGCAGGGGGAAAGGACCTACTGCTCTCAGTATGTGTGCCTTTTCTCATTTGCAAATGGGATGTAGCCCAGCTGGTCCAGTGCTGCCCTGCAGGCACCAGGCCGGTTCAGCCCCCAGCACCACCCACACAAGAGACCCCAGGAAGACGGAGGCCCAGGGAACTGTGAAGGGCGGGTGGAAGTGAGGAGGGTGGGTCCAAGGACAGCTGGGACACAGGCGTGCACTGTGTCCACCGTGTGCAGCTCTGTGTGAGTGTGCAGCTGAGGGGGGTTTGGAGTGCAATGGGGACTCACTCGGCGGGCCCAGTTGATGAGGTCGTCCAGCTTGGTCACCACAAACTCGCCGCGGCTCCTGGGAAGCTCGGTGGGTTGAGGAACCATGGCTCTGGCCTTGGACACAGCAGGCTGGGTGCTGAGCACAGGACACACTGGCATGAGAAGGCATCAGCCTGGCAGAGCCCCCGGGAGGCAGGTGTGGCCACCCTGCACCCCTGCCTGGAGGACCTGGCCCAGAGCAGTCTCTCGGAGGGAAGGACAAAGACAGTCACAGGCACAGTCCTGGGATCACACTGGTTGAAGCCTGAGGCCACAGAATCTAATAAGCAGAGGAACACAAGAAGGCCACCTCGGAGGGCAGTGGGGACATGGAGGTGGGGCTGGGACCCACAGGGAGGCCCAGCAGACACCACCAGTCAGCAGCAGTGCAGGCAGCGGGGGGCAGGCAGGACAAGGAATGGGGGGTATATGACCTCCTCCAGAAGCCAGCCTCACCTGCTGGGGCCCTCTCTGGCCAGGCTCCGATGGACGCCTCGTGCCTGCATGGCTGAACCCACATTGGAGCTGCCCAGGAGAGGAGCGAGGTTCAGTGATCACCTGAGGCCCTACTGGGTGAACCCAGGACCCTGGGCAAGAGCCCACTTCCTGTCCCTGTGGACCTGCCCTTCCCTCCCCACAGGGACCTCCTGCTCTTCTACCCAGTGGCTTCCCACCCTCTCGCTCAGAGCCCTGACAGAGCCTCTGGGGTCCTGTGGCCATCACCCAGCAGCCTGACGATGACCCAGACTTTTGGAGTGCTTCTTCAGGGATGCACCCAGCTGGTCAACAGGCCCAAATGTTGAAGCAAGGACAGTACTGTGTCATCTGCAGAAGGACACTCTGAGGACAGGTCCTGTGTCCCTGACCAAGGGATGGACAGCCCCTGGCCCTGCCTGAGTTGCCACAGAACACCTGCGGCAGGCAGCAAGGAGTGCTGAGGTGCCGTCCCAGGCAGACGAGGGTAAGGGAAGCTCTGGTCCACACAGGGCCCCACACTCCACATGCCCAGGACAGGAAGCAGGTCCTGTCCTGCCCCGACCTGGTGGGTGACCTTCACCAAGGGGCTCCCTTGTTGATGCTGAAGGCCCCTTCCCACTCTGAGGCCCTGCAACAACTCTGTCCAGTCAGTCAGGGTGGTCAGGCACTCACCGCAGGCCGAGCATCCGGACACAGAGCGGGCTGAGAGCTGTGGAGAGAGCCACGGGTCACAGACAGTGAGTACCCAGGGCCACTAGCTCAGGTGCCAGGGGCTCAGTAACAGGGTCCAGCCTCAGGCGTCTCCCCCAGGCATTCCCCCACCGCCTCTGCTGTCCTAAATGCCACTCCACAAACGTTGGTGGGGAGGGTCGCTCAACACACAGGCAGCTTCATCCCTTCTGAAGACCCCACCGCCCCAGCAGGAAGCCTGGACTCCACACCAAGGCCACCTCCCTGTGACCCGCCTCCTCCCTGCCAACCCCTGCCTCGTCCTCTGCACTCGCCACTCCCTTGGCCGGGACACCCAGCCCCACACTTGCACAGAGCTGGCCCCTTCTCATGGTGCAGGTCTGAGCTGATACCATCAGGGCATCAGGTCTACAATAGCCCCAGGCCCTCTGGACCCTGGAACCCATCCCATCTCTGCCCAGTACTCACGTAGGGTCTGCCTCCCTTGAGACACGGGGACCTCCCTGGATTCCCTAGCACCTAACCTGGCCTTGGCTATGTTGGCATACCCATACAGGTGGTGCTCAGCAAGTGTGTCTGAGGCCCCAGGCCCTGGCTTTGCTGAGGGCTTCTGATGCTGCCGACCTCCACCCAACCTACAGAAACCCACCACCTTTCAGAAACCTGTAGTCCAGCAGGCAGCAGAGGCACCACCCACATCAACCCACGCAGCCAAGAAGCCCACACACAGAACAGAGGGGGACTGCTCCAAATGGAGGCCTCCTTGGAAACCACCCAGAGGGAGAAACCTGAAGCTCCAAAAGGCTGCTGTCAGACAGGGAGACGCACAGGGTGGGGAAGGTAGCTGGACACACGAGAGATCCTGACGAACAAGGAGGACACTGAGGAGGACAGGCTGGGTGCAACTTATCCCCCAGATACATGTGGTGAGATTCAGCTGTGTCTGAAGAGAGGTTCTCTACAGAGAATTCACAGTGAGGTCACTGGAGTGGGCCCTAATCCACAGGACTGGTGTTCTTCAGAACAGAGAGGCCAGACGGCACCACGGCATATGCCTGTAATCCTAGCAGGTCAGGAAGCTGAGGCAGGAGGATTGCAAATTCAAGGCCAGCCTCAGCAATTTATGGAGGCCCTAAGCAATTTAGCAAGATCCTGTCTCAAAAAATAAAAATGACTAGGGATGTAGCTCCGTGGTAAAGTACCCCTGGGTTCAAGCCCTAGTATCAAACTAAAAAAAAAAAAAAAGAGAGAGAGAGGAGCAGATGATTGAGGCTGAAGAAGAAAGATTGCAAGTTCAAGACCAGCCTCATCAACTTAGTTAAACCCTGTCTTAAATCAATTAAAAAGGGTTCTATCTGCAGTACTGATTTAAAGCCAGGGGCCTTTGGGGCTGGGGCTCAGTGGCAGAGTGCCTGTCTCACATGCATGAGGCACTGGGTTTGATCCTCAGCACCACATAAAAATAAATAAATAAAATATAGATATTGTGTCCATCTACAACCGAACCCCCCCACCCACACACAAAGAGGAGATGATCAGGACACAGATATGTAGACAGGGACAAACAACCATGTGAGGACACAAGGAGAAGCTACCACACACAAGCCAAGGGGAGACCTCCGAGGAACCAGCCCGCAACACCTTGATCTCAGACTCCCAGGCCCCGGGACGCGGAGGATGAATTTCTGTGGTTTAACCACACTGACTGTGGCAGAAAGAGCAAATTAATTCAGGGAATGGTGGGGAGGGAYGGCCGAAGGGAGAGGCTGCTGTCCAGGCTGTGGGCAGCTTCCTGCATCCAAGGTCCAGGGCCAGAGTCCCCAGCCCCAACCCCTGCAATCCCCACAGGTTCTCCCTCCTCGCTCTGGCCTGTCCAGGTGGCTGCCTTCTGAGGAGGCGGCAGCTTCAAAAGTCTCCTAAGGACGTCACTGTAACCTTGGCAGGCTGAGGCCGGGCATGAAGAGCAGTCCCCAGGCCTCAGTTTCCTATCTGAGAAGTCAGGGACTTGGGTAAACTCACAGCCAAGTGCGTGCCCTGGGGCGCCTCTGTACCAGGCTCACTTGTGACTAGTAATCACTGTTACTATTACCATTGCCACTTACTGCTCTCTCTGTCCCTGTTACTGTCACTATTACTCTCTGTCCCTGTCACTCTCTCTGTTACTGTCCCTGTCACTCTCTCTGTCCCTGTTACTC